CAAAAAAAAAAAAAAAAAGTAAGCTACTGTTCCTGTCTGCCTTGCATTGCATTCTAGGCTTCATTGTTGTCTCTCCTGCTCCTTGGGTTATTTGGTTTATGCTAGCCACATAAAGCTATCAATAACAGTTTCATGCTTATACCAAAGAATTAAATCTGATCCTTAATATCTGGTATTTCGCCAGTAAGTCTACTGACAAAGGATTATTGGAAACTAGTCACACAATTTGAAGACACTCTCTAGTCTCCTTAGGCCAAGGACTCATTGCAAAACATTCTTGCAAGTATGATTGCTTAGATTTGATCCAATAACAATATATTTTAGACTGGTTTAGAATTACTGGTAACTTTAAATCAAAGGACAAACAGCTGGGCACGAGTTTGCTGTCTTTAGAACAGTTTGTGAAAATGTGGTATAAAGATGTTTGCATTTTCTTATTATTTTAAATATTATTGTACAGAGCTATTATTAATGCCTTTTTGTTTTGAGAACCCTAAAAATTGCCACAAATATTGACATTAATTGCGTCAAACGACAAAGTGTCTTTGATATATTAAACTTTTGCTTTTCGTGCATCTGTAATTTCACTTTGTTTTTAAACAAATTTTTGCCTTTGTTAAAATTAACTTAAAATTTTTCAGTGCTAACATGTTGTATATAAACAAGACTATGCTTTGTGAGAGGGAAATTTCCTTTCTTGGAATGTGGTTGTAGTCATCCTTTTTTAGTTACAGTTTTGTTTTTTAAACAGGATGCAACTTAAAATTTCCTTTGCATCAAGGTGTATGCAAAACATTGATGCAGTGCATCACAAAATGAAAGTTTGTATTTAATGAGGAGATGCTTTACACTGTACTTTTTGGTGTTTTTTGGAAAAGTACATTTAGATCTATTCTGAAGCTGTTCATTTTTAACAAATAAAATGTTACAGGTCTCATGTTTATTCTTAGCTATAAAGATTGAGTTGTGGTTTTTAGATTGTTCTGTCTTACAAAGAACTTTCTAGTGATTATAATTTTTACAGTTTGAAAAACTGTAAAGATCTTCCTAATAAAGTGGTAAGTCAATGTAGACCCATTTAACATCCTTCTAACTGCCTTTTGACCATTTCATTCATAACTCCAACAGAAGGCAGCTAGGAGGATTAAAACAGAGAATTAACTTTACTTATAATGCAGATTATTAGACTAGATGAGCCTTTAGAGATCATCCAGTTCAACCCACTTTTAACATCTAAATGCTAATAAACAAGACCCAGCTTTTCAAGATGTGTGTGACAGAGTCACCTTTTGAGCTCAGATTTTTTAATTCTCAGTTCATAATAAGCTGCTTCTGTGAATTGAATACCTACAGGAAACAGTGGAATTGTGTGTGGCTTGTCAGATAACTAAGAAATGGTAATAGCCATGCCTTAGCATTTGTAGCATGGGAAGTCAGTCTACTGTTCCAGTGATGATTGTGAGACTTCATTACTTGGTATTCAAGCTACATAGATCTATTAGAAAAGCCAATGTTCTTACCAGACATGTGCTTTTTTTCTAATATAAACTTCTCCACAATTTTAATTATAAGCAAATCGTAAAATACTCCTATGAAGAAAGCATGAAGAAACTCAAAAGGTTTCATTGTCCAATGGTTATTTATAGAAATGTGTATCATACTTGACTTTCAATAGCTTTGTAATTCACTTAACATGCACAGGTTAATCTTTGTTCTCATTTATATTTGCCATAAGGAGATAAGACTGAGAAAAAATAGCCGGTGTTACAGAGAACAAATAACCATATGTTCTGAATGCAGGCAATATTCGGGCAGAAGATTATTTCTCCATTTCTGATCAGTGTACCTTTGAACTTCCATCAGAATCAACATGATTGTTTCCTACCACTAAAAAAAAATGCTTTGTTTAAGCTTCCCTTTAAAGAGTTAATTTTTTTTAATTTTTCCATAGATCAATTGGGAGTTAGTCCCTTTTTAAAAATGATACCATTAAGCCCCACGCATTGAGAAACAAGAGTTTTGGACTGTTGTGGACCCTTAATATGGATTTAAAGATGTGGTTATAAATGGTTGATTTCTAATGTCTCTTTTATCTCCCTGCCATTACTTTTATTTTCTATCTGAAATTTGTTAAAAAGCTTGATAAAACAAATGCGACACTAATCTGGAACTGAAATTCCTCGTCATGAGTGTATTCAGAAAAGGTTTACTAATGTTTAGAGATTTATAGGAAACTATTTCCAGTGAGTAGAATGGGCCAGGGGGGCGGTGGGGGAGCTGAAGGACATCTCTGCCTGAAGTAGTGAGATGCAGAGCTGGAGAAAGCTATTGAGATTTGAGTGAAGCAGTGAAGTTCTCTGTATCAATTCCTAACATTCATTAACCCTCACTGCGTATTTTTTCAGCTCCTCCTTCCAGAACACAGCAGTAATGGAATAAGTTACAGATCCTTGTAGTTCATTTGCTCACACCCTTTGTCCACCTGTTTGGTGGACTCTTTGGTGAACTCAGTGACATTCCTGTATCAATTCTCACAAGATGATCTTGACACTTGGCCTTCCTTTATGGAGAAGGTGAGGGAGTAGAATGAGAATCCCTCATACTCTGCCTTTGTAGATGAAACCTCAAATCCTTAGAAGTCTCAAAATTAACTCCTTGATCTATCTTCTAGTCTTTACCTAGGACTTATTCTTATATAATTGTAGATATAATAGCATCTTTCAATTTTTCCTGTATCCACAAGTGTTTCTTTTGACCTTCAAGTACCTATACAGTTAGGCTCCCCGTTCTGAAAAATAATGTTTTTCTCTCCTCCCAACTTTCTCTTCTGGTGAGTATATAATCTTACTGTGTAAGTACATAACCCACTTTATGTCTTTCTTTACACTCATTTTATTTTATTTATTATTTTGGTATTAATATACACTAACATGAACAACATTGTGGTTACTAGATTCCCCCCATTATCGAGTCCCCACCACATACCCCATTACAGTCACTGTCCATCAGTGTAGTAAGATGCTATAGAATCACCACTTGTCTTCTCTGCTATACTGCCTTCCCCATGCACCCCACACACATGTGTGCTAATCATATTTCCACTCATTCTTAACTCCTGTTAATATACTCAGCTCTGGGATATGGAAGATAATTACAGAGTTTAACATATTCAGGACCTTAAAATGTAGTTGAATAGGTAAAGTAACAATCCATATATAAATTTGGTCAGAAGTTCAGAGATTAGGATTAGCCTGGTATGTTGGCAATAGTTGAGTTGTACAGATAGGAACAATGAGGCTGGGTTACAGAGAACTTGTCAGAAGAATTTAGTGTAAATGAAGGAAATAGGTAATTTGAGTACAGATGACATGGGTCATTTTATAGGTCTGGAAAGTATTTCTATAGCACTGTAGTATTACTATGGATGTATGTTGATGCTTTGGCTATTGTAGGTGAAATATCTCTAAAAAATAGAAAATGAGGTCCTGCTCTTAAATAGCTTAAAATATTTCTAAGAATAACAAAATTTTAGGAAGACCAGAATAACCAACCAATTCATGCACTGGATACATGTTATTTGCCAGGGATAACAAATATGTCACTTAATATAGTGACATATGCTCATTAACATTGATAATTGATTGTGGAACCTGCCAAAGAACGTGGAATGTATTAGTAAGAGTTCGTAGAACAACTCTCTGAGCAGCTGTTATTAATAAGCTTTGGCACTGAGACTCAACATTTTTACCATCTTCCATTTAGGAATGGGGAAAATGCTACTCAAGGTTTCATTGAAGAGTTGGGCTTTGATGAGTGAGATCTCTCCAAACTTTATTTTCTTTTGCTCTCTGATAACTTTTCCACCTGTGGCCTAATGTTCTTCACACATATATAAACCATACCTGGGTGCGTTCTTGCTGCTCCTCCCAGTCTGGAATATTGCTCTCACCTTCCAGTCTGTCCCACTTTATAATCCAGACTTTATTTAAAATCTCATTCATTCGTGATATGGATTCCATTTCTGTGAATTCTTAAAATCCTCACCACCCCTTTTTTTGTTATTCTCTTGGTATATTTGTCTTGATTCTATCATAATCTCCCAGAAAAAGGACTGTATCAGACAGTCTGCTGTTTCCCACAACAAATAGTAGTTGATTGATTGAAAAGGACATATCATGTAACAGGAATGACCAAAATGTGTAAAAAAAAAAAACTATACTGAAGACTGGTTGCAAAAGGAGAGGTCCAATTGGTTTTAAATATTTTGCACTTCTTATGTACCTTTTTATCTTTTTTTTTTTACCACTTGTTCAGTTCTACCTTTAATTCCCCATTTAGACTATGGTTCTTTTCCTCAGTTTTGGTTCCAGAACAAAATTTTAGACTTTAATGCTGTTCATCCTGCTTTGTTCAACAATAAAACCTTATCTAAAGGACAAGTACTATTTAAGACATTTGTTTTATTTTCGTTAAAAAGCTATTTTATAAGAGGGAGGGTGGGCCTAAAATGGTTATATTACCCTTTAAGGGAGAATTATGGCGTTTGGGAGCCAGGTTAGCACTTGATTTCCCTCAGGCAATAATATTTAATAAATCCACAAGCCTCCACTTAGGTCATTTGGTTTGTAAGATGACAAGTTAGGAAACATTTTAGGTTGTACGCCAGGGTCACCTCCTCGCACTGCCCGTTGCAGGCAGCAACAGTGTTAAGAGACCTTAATGCTTAATCTAATCCTGTCGTACTGAGGGAGGAAGGTAGAGAAGTTTTGGTGAGTAGCGTTGTTTGAAACAAGTGCTTGTGTAGAAGCAGTTTAGAAATGCTATTGGGTGCCTAGAGGGTGGGCTGCTCCAGATTTGTGAGTTCCGTTTTAATTTCACTTTTAAACCTACATGTGGGCGGAGGCAAGTGCCTGGACGTGCGGAGGGGCACTGCCGCCCTGCCCATCATGGGAACCGTCCGGGGTCCGTTGGCCGCTTTCCCCGCCCACCCATCAGTTCTGGCAGCGCATGCGCCGAGCCGGCAGGCCGGAGAATTGTCGGCTTGGAAATGGCGGCCGCGGGCTTGGTCGCTGTGGCCGCGGTTGCAGAGTACTCTGGCCCAGTTGCTGCGGGAAGTAACCTCTCCAGTGTTAACTGCGGCCCAAGCTCCGGGGCAGGCCCTGGTCCTGGCCCCGGCTCGTGGAGCCGCTCCCTCGATCGAGCGCTGGAGGAGGCGGCGGTAACCGGGGTGCTGAGCCTGAGCGGCCGGAAACTGAGGGAGTTTCCCCGGGGAGCGGCCAACCACGACCTGACGGACACGACCCGGGCGGGTGAGCGGCACAGGGGGCTTCGCTGCCGACTCGAGGCGCGAGGCGCGGCGGGAGGCCGCCCCGGCCGGTGGGGGATCTCGGGGATGGTTACAGCCACCGGTCCCATAGCCCCTGGTCAGGACCCGAGTAACGGGGAGAAGCCGACCGACCCAACACACCAGCCCCCGGGCCTGCGGGCCAGACCCCGAGCCAGGGGCGAGGCGGCGGCGAGCAGCACCTCTCCGGAAGGAGGACCTTAGGGAGTTGATCCGTGGAGTTTTACTCCATGAAAATTAACGCCGCTCTTGAGGTAGACCCTTGCCCCGCCCCGCCCCGGCCTCTGCAGGCCCTTTCGGACTTGGGATGCGAAGTTGACTTCAATAAAGATTTGGGATTGCGGCGCGCTCTTAGTATGTCAGAGTAGCATTGATCTGAGCACTGGCAATTTTTCGAGATTTTTTAATGTGAACCCGAACGCTGTAACCTTTTTTTCTCCAGTTTCATCTAGTTGACTTACCAAATGTACTTGTAAAAACAACTATTATATAGAGTCCACCCTCAGACTTCCATTACTTTCTTCTCCCCATAACGTCACCCTCTAAAGAAAAGAAAAAAGTTGAATACTACTTAAAAGATGTGTAGAGTGTCTGACATTATGTACATTGAATGCTTTACTTTTCTTTATGCATATTTTTGAATACGGAAAATATAGGAATTTTGGTATTGTTTGGTTGTCTTAGTTGTAGAGAACAATAAGTGGTGACTGATGTGTTTAACGTAATATCGTTTTCTTGTGTTTAAAATACAGCTTCCTCAGGGAGTAGATTAAAAACTGAGTCTATTCATGTTTTACACAAAACAATGGGAAAGAAATCCCTTACACAGATTTAATAATGGAACAGTATATGGAATTTAATAATCTCTAATTTTATTTTACCTGCTTTTCTTTTTAAATTGAAGTTTTGTTGTTATGCAATAATATTGGTTTCAAGTATATGCCACAGTGGTTTAACAGTTACCCAAATGATGTAGTTAAATAATTTATTTCAAGAGATTTTTGTGTATGTTTTCTTCTAAGAGTGTTACGGTTTCATGTCTTAAATTTAGTTCTTGATCCGTTTCAAGTTTACTTACCTGCTTTTAATAGTTGGAAGACCAACATGTTTTGCCTTTAATAGTATGATGTAGTTAAGTAATTTACATATAGCATTTTTGCAACCAAAGAATGTATAGTACTTTGTGTCTTAATTTATTCCATTTTATTTATTTTATTTTTAATATCTTGGATTTAATACCTTTCCTATGTTTACGCACTCATTAAAGATTGATGGGTATTACATACGGTTCACTCATGTTAGAAAAATAAACAGAATTGTTAAATTATTAAGAGAAACTATTCTTCCTAAAGAAACGTTTGCTCTAGTGTAAGAAATTAAATGCCTACTTATTTAATTTCTTTTTGGAAACAGTGGCACTGAAATAGTTTAATTTTATTATCATTCTGCAAAAAAATATAAACTTTCTTGCTTAGGTAAATATGCAAAGCCACTTGCCTTTCTGCATGTGTTCTGATAGTTGACATCTAAAATTGTTATTCATATCCCAGATTTCCTGATTCTGTTTGAGAGATGGCTGTGGTCATATGGCTGTTGAGACTGATAGCATAGTGATTTACATTGGTATGAGTCATTTCAGGATTACTACATTGAGCCTGAAGCTGAAGAACGAGTTGATCACAACTTATGTAGCTCATTATCTTACCTGCTTTTCTTTTAAAATTGAAGTATTGTTGAAATTCACTCATATTGGTTTCAAGTATATACCACAGTGGTTCAACAGTTACCCATATTAAATCCTCGCCTCCACTAGTGCAGTTACTATTTGTCAACATAGGAAGATGTTACAGAATCATTGGCTATATTTTCCATGCTGTACTACTGTACCTGTGACCAACTTATATTATGATTGAGAAATTTTGTGCCATTTATGCCCCTCACCCTCCCTACTCATCCAGTTGAACCCCTCCCCATGGTAACCACCAGTCAGTCATTCTCTGTGTCTATGAGTCTACTGGTATTTTCTTCATTTTGTTTTGTTTTGTTTTTATATTCCACAAGTAAGTGAATCATGGTATTTGTCTTTCTCCACCTGGCTTATTTCACTGAGCATAATACCCTCTAGATTCATTCGTGTTGTTGCAAATGGCAGGATTTTTTATGGCTAAATTACATTCCATTGTGTATATGTACCACATCTTTATTCATTCATCTATTGATGGACAGACACTTAGGTTGCTTCCATAAGTTGGCCATTGTAAATAATGTGGTGATAAACATAGGAGTGCATATATCTTTTTTAATCAGGGATTTTGTTTTCTTCAGGTAAATTCCCAGAAGTTGAATTACTGGGTCATATGGTATTTCTGTTTTTAGTTTTTGAAGAACTTACATACTGCTTTCCACTGTGGCTGCACCAATTTACATTCCCACCAACAGTGTAGGCGGGTCCCCATTTCTTGGCACATCCTTGCTGACACCTGTTATTTCTTGTCTTTTGGATAGCAGCCAGTCTAACTGGTGTGAAGTGATTTCTCATTTGTGGTTTTGATTTGCATTTCCCTGATGATTAGTGACGTGAAGCATCTTGTCATGTGCCTGTTGGCCATCTGTATTTCCTCTTTGGAAAAATGTTTAGGTCCTCTGCCCATTTTTTAATCAGGTTATTTTTTTTTTATGGTGTTGAGGCATATGAGTTCTCTATATATTTTGGATATTAACCCCTTATCGGATAAATCATTTGTGAATATATTTTCCCATACTGTAGGTTGCCTTTTTGTTCTGCTGATGGTGAACTTTGCTGTACAGAAAAGCTTTTTAGTTTCATGTAGTCCTACTTGTTCAGTTTTTATTTTGTTTCCCTTGTCTGAGATGTGTCCAGGAAAAAATTGCGTGTGCTTATTATGTTCAAGAGATTTTTGTCTATGTTTTCTTCTAAGAGTTTTATGGTTTCATGTCTTAAATTTAGGTCTTTGATCCATTTCAGGTTTACTTACCTGCTTTTAAATAGTTCTAGGACCAACATGTTTTGCCTTTAGGAGATATTTTATTAACAAAGAAAATCGAAGGGCATTCAGGAAGGAAAATAATCCCAATGAATTTTTCCCTTTTAGCTCTGCATTTTTAATTTGTTATTGTCCAGTGTTTTTTAAAAAATTACTTTAATAGTTTCAGTAGAAACCAATTTTTTTTGACATTTTGTTTGGTAAAAAGTGTTAAAAAATTACAAGTATTTGATAACCTATTTTCATTTCTCACATTAGAAATATCACTAAGTATAAGAATCATTGGCAGGCCTTGGTAAATACAAAAACTGAATTGTTCTTTGAATTATCTTAAACATAATTTGATGCAGATAACAATTTATTGAATTCACCGCTCTTCATTGTGTCCAGTGTTTTAAAATATATTGCCATGTTAAATGTTCATAACAAGCAATGGATTAAATATTATTATCTTCATTTTGCACAGGAATCACTGAGTCACATACTAGTATTAGTGGTAGAATTTTGGGTCCATCTAACTCTTTTCCCTCCACTATGCCACACAGCCCCCTATGTACCGATAGGTATTACTGTTGCTGTTTTTGCAGATAGTGAAACTAAGGTTTGGAGAAATTAAATAATTTGCTCAAACATCTGTAACTAAAGGCCAAGGAAGGTGATATTAGCCAGGATTTGAGCCTAGTTTGAGGTAACTACAAAACCATAGTCTACCTGTTGTACAACAGTATTTTGATGAATTCAGACCCAGCTTGTGTTAGCTAAAATGTTTTGTTTAGGCTTTTTAAAATTTAAAGCCAAGAAAATTATTTGAATGCTATGTATATCCAAGTTGCTACCCTGTCTGTTCTTCATAATGTGTCTGGCAGAGCTGTTATCCTTCAAGAGTTGACATTCTAAGAAATAGCGCAGATCACCCATACCATTTATCATTTGACATGATTAGAATTCATCAGGAATATTTTCTTGAGGTTTTCCCTTTCTGTTTGTTTAAAATGTAGATCTTTAGAAGAAAAATTTTTGGGAATGGATGACTTGATACAATAGACAGGAAAATAGACAAAAAAAAAAATCAGATTTCTTGGGACAGAAAGGAGGTAACTTGGATTTTGGTAGACAGAGAAGGGAAGCCATTACAGGTAGTGGTGGGCAGCATGCAAAAAAACTCTTAGCATCTAGAGCACATCAGTAAATTTTCTCAGTCCATCATGCCATTCCCTTTTCATCTAATAACAATACCTCAGTTTTCCTAGGGAATCGTGCCTCTCAGTTACATGGATCCTGCCCTGATATAAGGGTGGGCACCTCACTCAGGCCTCCAATCAATGTAGCCATCCCTTTGGCCACAGTGGTTGTTCAGAGATGGACATATTTTCCAGTCAGCACACATGAGTGTCATTCTGAATTTTTTATTGGAACTATTGAGAAAGAGGCTTGTTTTGAATGCTGGGGTTGCTGAGTAACTAGAATGTGAGCCTGGAACTTGCCAATAAATGGAAAGCAAAGCCAAAAGATGGAAAGAATGAGACCAAGTTCACATTTGAACCTTTGGATCAAGCCAGGCCTTAATATTGTGCTATCCTTGGACTTTCAAATTTTGCAGGCTAATAAATTCCCTTTTCTCCTTAGTAGTAGAATTTTTTGATACAAAATAAGAGTCCTGACTTTACAGTGAGATTACTCTTGATAGTGTTGTGGTGAGGCCGGTTTGGTTAGAGTAAATGGTTGGATCAGAGATTATTAGAGCTACTTATTGCATATGAGGAGGCTAGACTGATGATAGGTTTAGAAACTGGGAGACAAATGTTCATTCATTCAACAAACATTTATTAAGGGTTTTTGGCAGGTGTAGACATACAAAGAGGACCGACCCTCCCTGCACTCAGAGAATTCAAGGGACCTACTGGAGGAATAAATAAATAGATGCAAAGTTTATTGAATTGTGTAATAATAGCAAGACTTT